AAAAAAGGTCAACAAAATATGGTGGGGGTCACTAAGTTTCCATACCGCCCGCTTCCTTCATACACCTGTACATACCAGATGCAGCTGTAAACTGCATGCACAAGCCCGCTCTTTCCCTTTCCCCCCCCTTCCACACCCCCCTGTTTACCCGCTTCCCCCCTCTCGCACTTTTTGCCTATCTCTGTACCCGCTTCCCCTCTCCCAATATATTTGCTATCTCTCCACCTGCATCCCCTCACGCTTCCACCACGCGTTGCATATGCACTCACCCTTCCGACCGCCCACTTCCCGTCCACACACTTCCCGCTGGTAAGTGAGTGAGCAAGCTCACTCGAACGGTACACCCCATGCACCTACACCTACAACACGCCCACCCTTATCCTACGGGAAGGGGAAAAGATATACACGCTGCATTGACGCTTGCTATGCACATGCAAGTGAGGGGGAGGGGGATTTGCAAATCGGTGTGATTAGCGTTGGGGGTTTCTGTAGAGATAAGAGAAAAAAGCTTGAGGGAAATGGAAGAAACGACGCGAAAGTGGGGATAAAGAGCGGGAGAAGGGAAGAGGTGGGAGGGTTATCGTAACATGGATAGCGGGGACGATGTGTATGATAGTATCCATAACCTAATGCGGTTGTAGTATGTGTGGGGAAAAGGGAGGGGAAGGAGGAAAGGGAGCCAGGGCAAAGGCCAAGAAAACGAGAAAAAGCAACGTTGAACCGGTCTCGAGTAGCAAGTGAAGAGAGAAAAAAGCAAAAAAGGGATCTGCAGTTAGTTACTCGCATAACCAAACATACACACATGTGCACACCTCAGAAAAGAACTACACAATCAGAGTCAGAAAATATAAATATATCTAATACAGTATATATTTGCCGCGTACTACGTATACAAAAAGTACCATGCTTAACAAACAAACAAAGAAAAAAAAAGGGGGGGTATCTTTCGATCTATACAAAGATTTTTGCCTGCTTATATGCGCAATGCGGCGTGCGAAATAGAAAAAAAAAGTGGGAGAGGAAGGGGGAAATACACCGAACTGCATGCGAAGCAGATATAAAAACAACAACAACAACAACACGTCTAGATCCTTTCATACCCCATACCCAGTTTTGATAAAAGAGAAAGAATAACAAACGTCCAAATGGAGTTCCGCCGGAAAAAAATAACGCCCAGAATATGATGTTGATGATGACGATGATGATAATGATAGTGATGGAACAAAATAACCGCCTTGGAGGGGGGGGGAAGAATATACACGGATTTCACACCCCCTCTTTTTTGTTTCGCAAGTAGGAGTTCGTAATGAAGGCCGTTAAATAAAAAAGCCAGATATATCCGCACCTGGAATATGCGCGCGATCGAGATCAAAAAAAAACAGGGACAAATAAAACAAAAGCTGAGGGCACGGGTTTACGGACTATCGTAGTCGTTGAAAATTTCCTCTGGGTCCTCGGGTGGTAGCATATCAATTGTATCGCTGGTCCTTGGTCCGGTGTATTTCTTGCGTGCACCAGCATACCACCAGACGGTACTGAAGAAGCCGATGAATGCGGCGACGCAAATGGCGTAGTTCATGTTATCGACGCGTACCGGGCGGACGGTAGGGAAGAATAGGACGACGCTGATGAAAATGACCCATGTGACGGCGATGGCGTTGACGGGCTTGCTCCATTTGCCCATGGAGTATGGGCCCGGGTGGAAGACGACACTGCCTTCATACCATCGGTGAGCAATGATGACGGCAATGTAGCTAATGTCAAGGGCTGGCGCGGTGATGTTGAAGATGGCGGTGATGGTTAGTGTGCTTCCGATACCGATGAGGTCGAGGCAGCTGCAGAAGACGACGACGAGCCAGACGGCGTTGACGGGCGTGTGCGTATGCGTGTTGACCTTGCTCCAGAAACTTGAAAAAAAAGAATGTAAGCGGTTTGGTTCGTTGCAAAAAGAGGCATAAAAAAAGAACTTACTCTGAAAAAGGAAACGCAGCATCTCGAGCAAACGCCCAGGCCATGCGTGCATTGGCCAACATGGCCGAGCATCCGGTGAAGAACTGGACTAGCATGACAAAAAACCACATGATGGTTCCACCGGTTTTACCGCCTGCGTTGAAGAAAATCTGGGCCACGGGCAAACCGGTCGGCGTTGACATGATGGCGTCGTAGTCGGACATGCAGAAGCAAAAGGTCACGGTTAGCATCCAGCCGACGACACCGGACACGAGGATGGCAGCGCGAATCGCCACGGGACCACGGATGGCAGCATCGTGTGTCTCTTCAGACATGCTGTAAGAAGGAAACTAGGGTTAGCATACATGCATGCGTGTCTAAGGCTTTCCATAGGGCTGACTTACTGTGTAGTGCCATCGTAGTCGGTCATGGTCCATGCAACTGAGAGGAAGCTGCATGCCGATTAGTTCTATATTACTTCTTTCAACTTTGAGTACCGATACGAACGTACCCGAGAAGGAATGAAAAACCCTGGCTACCCCATCCGGAGCCGTCCGTGACGGTAGTAAAAACCCATTTGGGGCTTTGTTTGTTGGGTGTGAGAATGAGCAGGGCGATGCAGATGCAGATTGATGCAATGACTGGGCTTACTGTCAGCTTCTATTTTTTGTGCCCCCGCAAAACCAAGACTACCACCATAAACGGGTAACACATATTAAGCGAACGTACTGTTGATCGGGGCGAACCACAGGATAATGCGGTGCAGCCAATTCGTGGGGAACGAGCAGATGGCGCCAAACATGCAGAGTACAAAAATGGCAAGGAGCACCGTCTGGTAAGCTTTCCTGCATTGATCGGTGAGCTACTACTGTGTGCCGCCTAGAATGGTGTGCTACTCTTACGGTTCAAAGACTGGCCCCGCACCATCTAAAGTGTGCATGACTGCTGTCGCTAAGATCATTTGCGAGATGGTATATGCCAAACTTGCAACACCTGCGGCTTGACCGAGGAAGTTGCACCATCCGATGATCCACGACCAGGCAGCGACATGCTCGGGGGGCACAACGTGTTTTGTGACATAGTACATTCCTCCGGCTGTGGGGTATGCTGAGACTAGTTCGGCGACTAGAAAGGGGGGGTTGTTAGCTTCAGCGGTGAAGAGATGAGTTGGAGTATAATACCTGAGCTGGCTATGCAGTAGGCCATGATGCTACCGATGAACCAGGCCCAGACGGCTGTTGCTGGGCCTCCTGATGACATTGGGGCTCCAAAGGTAGCAGGCACTGAACCTAGCACTCCGAGAATGGAAATGGCATATGAGACTGTGGACCATCTTGAGAAATGTCTTTGGAGTACCTGCGGGCAGTGTGAGATGAGGGTTTGAGTTGAATAGAACAACATGATACCTACAGGAGCATATCCAATGCGTACGAGAAGACGGTCGTCGTCGTCTGCAATGGTCGCCATGGCGGGGAGTTGATTGTTCTTGTTCGCGTCTGTTGTCCTGGATGATTGAGATGAAATTGTTGGTTGGAGTGCCTTGCCGTCCCCGGACTGTGCACCTGGTCCTCTGTTTCCGAATTCTGGATTACCCATGGTCAACAAGATATCAACGACTGAACATGAGATTTAGGTGAGAGAGTGAGGTAGAAGGATGGCTCAGTGACGGAAGGCGTAGAAGGGATTTAGAAGCGTGTAAAAGACGTTTGTGGGTCACTGCCGGAGACACACTAGGACATTGACAGCAGTGGCATAGACCCACACCAGCCCCCGGTGCCAGAAAGCGTACTGCTGCAAGTGGTAGGGATATGGTGGTCGGGGAGGTGAAGGTAGGGACGGGGAGGCGAGTAGTGGGTTTTATCGTGGGCTAGCTTGCCAAAGGGCCCAACCCTGCTGGCAGCCACAGGCCATGACTATCCAGTAGCATCATGATGCGAGAACTGACTTACATACTGCTAGGCCTGTAATTAGTGCATATGCGTGTACATGATGACACGCGCCGAGTGTGCTGCAGAATTGCTTGCTTGAGAAGGGCGTGAACATGGAAAAAGGCAAGTAAGAAAGTGGGCCGATGAGGAGCAGAAATGGGACATTGTCAATCAGCCCTGTCTTTCTCCATGTGGGCTAGTCTCTTTATTTTCTCACTCTCTTGCTAGGGCCCGGCGGATGCTAGTCGCGACGAAGCAACCGTGGATTTGCGGTACTGTCATTTGCGCAGGGTACAAAGACTGGTGCCGGACGTTTGAAAAGAGGAGCGTGCTCAGCAAAATGCTGCCCGCTTCGGCGACCCAGAGCGGCGGGCCGTTTACTTACCTACCTTGCATTTTGAGCGACCAGGGTCTGCTTCAGCCCTGGAATAATCTACCATCCATCTCGGAAGGAAACGAGCGATCAAAGCATGCCTTTGTTCTTGAAGCTGCATGAGACCCAATTGCTCGCAGCAAGCCACTGTTTCATGAGGGCTCTGATTGTGAGTCAACTGCTGTCGTGTCCATTGTGCCTGTCCCTGAACGGCATAATACGACATGCCACGACACGACATGACACCTCAGGCTTCTTGTCGTCGCGTATTCGGGTGCGCTTGCTTAGGTGCTCGAGGGCTTCGGCCAAGAGCTTGCCGCACTCCAACGCCGTCATCAGAAGCTATGACGAATGCAAATTGAAGCTGCGGCTTGCCTTTGGGCGAGGCTCTGGAAGCGGTACGACTCGGGGGCGCGACTACGGCCTGCCTGCAACCGGTTCCCCCTGACAGTTCGTAGCAAAACTTCAGTCCAGGCGGTGAGACCCTCGAGGCCCATTGGCCGCGGCGGCTATTTCTGATGCGAGTCCATCATGGCCGAGGACGAGGCGCTTGTTAACGGGTCCGTATGATATCAGAGACTCTGGCTGCTCTGCGTCTGCGTGCATATCCCGCCCAGATCCGGGACTATTATCCATGGGCCTTACATCCTCTGCAATGTAATAGTGGAGTGAGATTGTGTCAGAACCTGCAGGAAACGCCCTGCTACCCTCTACGTACGTACGTGGTACTCTACGCGTACACACAGTAACATTCCCCTCTTGTCATGGCCATGGTCAGATCATCCCAGAAACTGCTGCAGCCCAGTGTGGAATTTCCCGGTCGAGTAGCGTAAGCGATGGATGCCCGCAATGGGGCACACACGTGCGTGTGGCCCGCGTGAAGGACCATGTACCGGACTTTGCTCATGGCTTACCATGGCGCCGGTCCTGAGCATGTCCCACGTCACCAAAAGACAAAAAAAAAGGCGTAGCCACTGTGCTGCCCTAAGGTGCGCCACAGCACTGTCGCGGTAAGAATAGCCCATCTCTTCCAGGCCTGAGTGGCAGTAGTAGTGCGCCCTCGCAGCTTCTGAAGCCTGTATTACGGTGAGCGATCCTCCGAAGCGCCGCCTAGTCAGTATGCACATGTCCACCTGATCAAGCATCGCCCATGTCGTCGATGCCGTGATGCCTTCGATGCCCCTCGTTGCTGCTGGCAGCAGCCGAAAGAGCGGTGGGAGGGCTGCCCAGCCATGCATCCGAGAAATTGCACACTGCCACACGGCCGCCCTGTTCGAGTAAGTTGGCTTGACCCGGAGTACGTACCCAGCACCACCTAAGACGTTTGTCAGACTGTAAACGGATATCACGGGAGCTTGATGCTGCACCCATGACATTGACATGCTTCGAGTAGTTCCTCGGATAAAGACAATTCAAGGGTCAAAGTCCCCCAGAGCTATCCTAAATCCCAATCCGGTATGTAAATCTCCGCCAGTGTTCGGTACTGGCCCGCGCAGATGCGAGTTAGGGAAGAAAGAGGCGAATTTCGGTCGCCCCACTGTGGACATCATCGCATGCGAAGAGCTCAGTAGCTTCGTCAGTAGTGTCTGCGTCCTTGCCTTCACATCATCTTGACCGCGACTTTCTTGATACCATTACGCCAAAATACCTAGTGCATTGTGGCTGGCCTTTCCCTTCAGTCATGTTGGCGTCACGGCGAGATAAGAGAAAGGGGAATACCGCAGCATTGAATGCCCCTCGAACTACGCCCAAGTACCACTGCCTGCCCGCGACAATCCTGACTCGCCATGCACATTAGCGAACCCATCTGAGCATCATCTTCCAGAAGATACCTCAGGCACTCGGCCGTTTCAAAAAAGCCGCCGAAACCATGTGCGGACCCGTCCGCTAGGGCCGACGATCAGCGTGGTATTCTGTAGCGCGCTGCCCAATGGCGGACCCGCAACACCTTTTGCCCTTCACCATTCGACCTCACTTGCCCAATCGACGCTTCGACTAGCATATGCAGCATTTCTCAATTAGGTGCAGGGTGACCGGAAAGCGGCGTCGGTTCCGCATACCTTTTCAGATAGCACAAGAAGCTCCATGTATGTCGTAGTTCGGTAAATCTACGGCAGTGAGGTCCCCGTTTCCATTCGTTGTGGCTTACTGCTAGCACCATGTCAACATGCAATGAGCCCAACTCATCACACACTCACCAGCCACCCAAGTGGCCGAAATAATTAATAAAAGAGCCTATCGGTCACCTCCTCCCGAATTTCTGTATTACCGTCCAGGCCCTCACCCACAAGTCAACAACCCCGTCTACAGTGCCTGCGGGGTTAGAGTCGGAAAGCAGACATATCATGTCATAGAACAGCTGGTAATACAGGGATTGATGCACTGAGAAGAGATGGGAGCAAAAGAATCGCGACAAATGGACCTCCATACAGGAAAAGTTTCCCTTCAGTCACAGAAATTGACGAGGCCAGAGTGAAGCAAAATGACTATAACGACCGGACCTCCGACTGAAGATCATGATCAACATTTTCTATCCTTTCCAGGTTCTTAGGCTTGCATAACAAGGAGGATGCGTAGAAGGCAGGAAAAGAAGGACCGATGCTTACCATCCTTGTGTTGATGGTATTATCCAGTCAGACGAGGGCACACACAGACACGTCTCTTTTTACAAACGCAGTTTCTGGAAAAGAAGATACATAGTATCGCATCATGCAAGCCGTACAGGACTTATAGGAGTGTCGCTGGAAAAGTGTTGCCATCCTATCAGCGCAGACCAGAAACACGCAGTCACCACTCCTACATTCCCACCCCCATCCACATCTCCATCACAACCCTCTCCACGTACAGCTTCGAAGTGGAGTCGTCGCTCAAGAATACAGGGCGACGTATCCTTATCTGCTACGTGTTGGATATATGTTGGATGTGTGTATCGAGGGGAAATCCTCTTATGACTCCTTGTACTCCTTCCCCCACTTCTTTTGTATCCACTTTGCGAGGCACACTACATAGGCGCCTTGGGGCAACCCACTCTTCGAACCATATACCTCTTCTACAAAGTACAATCCACTTTGCGGAGAGCCCACTCTACGGATAACCCACTTTTGCGTGTGGAGCAGCTGTCAGATGATCTGTACAATATCCACCAAACAAGGGTGGGGTGAGCGAGAAATCAGGGTCTGTTTGAGAGGTGGAAAGAAGGATGCAAACTTGCATGGTTCTCAACCGCGCATACTGCGCGAAAGGCGGGAAAGAAGACAAATATACGGTAGCAGTGGGGGGAGAGTGTTGGCACATAATATTTCTGCATACTAACTCAGCAGACGTGAACGCATACGTGATACGATTGTGACGAACAGAGCAAAGTAAATAAGCAGTCGCAAGGTACAACGTCTATCCATTCTAGCACCCCCAAAGTATATACAGAAGCAAAAATATCTACAGCCAACCCCTCACTTTATATACACTTTCCTTCACACCCCAGAGCCTCCTCAACCCCTTTTCTACCCTACCATCTAGCAGGTAAATACCTTCGGCCCAGGAATAGGATAGGTTTGCGCTGTACAAACATATTAGCAATCTCCCTTCAATCACCCAAACTCAAGGAGAGAAATCAAACATACCAGTATAGGCATTGTACGCAATCCCCGCATCCGTTCCCTTGTACGCTCCCGGAAAGCTTACCAAACCCGAGGGCTTCGTGCTACCACCCCCAGTAACCTTAAGCTGATGGCATCCCGGATAAAACTGCGCACCAGGATACTTGTACGCGGAATGCAGCGCCAGCACCTCATGCCTCACAAGATAGTATCCTGCAGGAATGCACTTGGGGATAGTGTACGAAAGGTATCCGCCGGCAACGCGAATAGCATCAGAAGCCCATTTGTTCGAAGTACCTTGGCGTCCTTCTTCTTGGACTTTGAACCAGACGGCACTGTAGCGCTGCGTTAGCAAAAGAGGTAACTCACTGAGATACCCAAAAAAAGACAGTAGTATGAGAGAGGGGAAAGAAGGAAAAAGACGTACTCAGACTCTGGCATATAAGCATCACATCCTGTATCCGGGCAGCGTGCCATATACGTAATGGAAGGCCCGACATGGCTCTCAGGCCACAGCGTCCAGTAAAGTTTGACTTCGGAGCCTGCAGCGGCTTCAGCGTGGAGGGCCGCGGGGGAGGAGCCCTTGATGCCGCCGGCGGTGTAGCCGCCGCACTGCAGGTCGGAGAGTGTGACGTCTTCGACGGGGCCGTTGCCCTGGATGGGGCGCGAGATGCGTTTGACGCCGGTGGTGTAGGGGTCTTGGTAGGGCTGGTAGAAGGTGTAGTCTTTGCCGCCGATGGTAGCATTGGAGACGTAGCCGTGGGCTGCGGCTGTGGCGGCGAGGGCGAGGGTGGGGACGAGGTATTTCATTGTTGCTCTTCTTCTCTTTTCTGATCTACTTGCCGAATCTAGTTGAAGAAGGGAAGAAGAGATGGAGTGCGGTGAAGAAGAAAAAAAAAGGCCGAGACAAAGAAGATTCTATATAAGCTACTTCGAGAAGGTAGATGGAAGTCTAGCTCGGTACAAGAATCAACCTAGATGTCGGTAATAAATTGATGCACACATGGCAGTGGAAAGCTCTTATAGTAGCACCACACTACCAACCTCGGTACTTAATTCCTCCACGATACACAAGCCGATAGTTCGCTATGCAAACGAACCACAACAAGCACTATTGCAAATGTTCCCGAGAGACTCTCCACACCCCTCGGTTCATGCATTGGTGCATCGAGACCAAGGGGGAAGGGGGGGCGTGAGAGAAAACATGTAGATTAAAAACTTGGCGCGCTAAAGGGTCACCGTGATGTCGAGTAACATGCACACCTTGCCTGTTTTGGGTCCATGTAAAGTGTTTGGAGAAGCCGTTATCCCCGGTCAAAGCATTCTGGAGAGGTTAAGCGAGATAAAGGTATCCTTTTTTTTGTGAAAGGGCCAGCATCCTGGACAGACGCCATTTGGTAGTAGATTCTTCGGGTTACCAGTGAAACAGCCCTTCGAAAATAGAGCCAATACAGTCGAACGTGGATGCACAATTAACAAGGCTCCAAAGTGGATGTCTCTGGCATCCTGTAATGACCGTCACAAGACATACTTTTGTTTCCAGTCATGATTGGTGGTAATACGCCTTTCGATTCGGACTCGTCGTCTCGGATTGAAACGTTCACACGTGATATCGGCTAGGGGGTTGGCGGTTGGCGGGAATCCTGCACCATCGGAGAAATTAATAAAGCTTTCATATAGCACCTAGCCGGGTTGCCGGTCCAGGTTTCGCGTGTCACGGTAGTGGCGAGGCTGCCTTCAATACTACTATCAGCCTTCTTCTGCAGCTAGGTTGGAATGCGGCCCGGGAACGTGGAGAAAGGGGAGTGACGCAAGCGTAAACATTTAGATTGCAGTGCACTAGGCGAGGTCTTGGCTCTAACGGCGGGAAGCCCTATGGGATTTGGCATCACGAGGGCCTAGAAGTGGTTAACTCGACTGAGAGCTAGTATCAGGCGATATAATATGGCTTCGTGTTTATGCTCGTGTGGATTTAGGTCGCTGCTTCCTCTTTGGGATGACGTCAGTGGACTTTGTTGGGCGCTCTTGCTCCGAAGTAAGTGGTTAAGGTGCCTGACATATGAGCGAGCATGTCTAAAGGACAGTACTTGCTCAGGTAGTCCTGGATGTTCTCATCAATCACACAGCCGAAGGAGAATGAAGACAATACTTGTGTAGGTGTGGTCCAGAGCCACCGTCTCGAACAGACCTCGCTCTTACATTTGCTGGTATCGGCCGAGCATAAAAGCACTCGTCAGAATTCTGAGAATAGATATTAACACAGCCATAGCAAATAATCGGCAGCCTCCATGAACTCCTGGCTACACTCGGAAATGATCGCATTTTCCAAAATCATACCCTGAGCTCCGAAAATATCATAACCCAGCTGTTTTCATCACCTAATATCCGGTTGCGCCAGGTGCTTTCTCATCCTTCTTCAGGCTGAGAAGCAGCTCCCTGAACCGTGCCTTGTCGCTGCCTGACGCACCGCCCTTTGTGCCCTTTCCACTCAAGTCGACCAGCTTTGCAATGCGCTCCCAGCTGGTTCCGCCCGCGGTTGTGTCGTCTCGGTTTGCAAGGAACTCTTCTGCTTCTTTCCGTGTCTTGGCAATCTCCTTCTCCTTCTTGTTGTTGTAGTTCTCATAGAAATCGTCAATATTTTGCTGGGCCTCCTTGATAGTGCTCTGCTTGCGCTCTTCGGCTACTTCGTCGCGGTGCTGGATCTGGAGGTCGCGGCGTTCGCGCCACTCTCGAATGACATCAGGCTCTGGGGAGTCTGATCGCTGGGGGGTGAATGATGGAGCTGGCTGGCCAGGAAGGAAGGGCAGGCTTGATCCAGTAATGGTGCCACCAGGGGCCATGTGCTGTTGCAGTCAGTATGGTGCCCAAAGAGAAACATCCTCTTGCAACGTGTTACAACCAGGGACGCAGCGCATTACATACCTCGTTGGTAGTGTCAATGGCAGGGAAAGAGCTCTCGAAGCCGCTCATTTCCTCACCACCAGCCTGGGCCTGGCTGAAGCCCCCACCCAAGAGGTCGTCGTCTCCATCCTCGACGGTAGCTGTCCGGTCGTTTTCTGAAGCAAACTGGTCGGCGTCGTCGCCAAGAAGAGCGCGCTCGCGTGAGAGAAAGTCGTCGGCGTCGGCAGAATCGCCTACGAGGTCGAAGGCTGCTGTATCACCGCGCGCTTCGGTCTGGCCTGGAGATGTTCAGTACTGTGTTGCGGAGCTGCTTCGGGGGTTCAATGGCTGAACTCACCAGCGTCAATCTCGTCTAATGAAGGGAATCGGTCGGCCATTGTGAATGTGGTGTATGTGGTGGGTGTAGAGAGAAGCGGTAAAGATGGGATTGGCGGCGATTGCTTGCTTCCAAGTGTCTTGTTGGTGGTTTAGGCATTGCTACCGTCACCAGCCAGGAGCAGGCTTGGCAAGTGCCTAGCTATGTTTAGCCCACATCGCTGTTAGCGTCCCCGAGCTCTCCATCACCTTCGACAGGCCTCATTCATTGTCTTCTGCCATCATCCGCTCGTCATCGCTGTAGTCGCAGGCTCTAGCAAGCCTCGTGTTGATCAACTAGAAGTATCGCCAGTTCCTACAGAGTCTGTCTTCACTGCCTTGAGAGTGTCGTGTTGGTCTGGTCGCGTGCGATTCTTTCTTCAGTAGCTGCAACTATTATTCGTGAAGACATTAAGCATGGCCTTTACCGAGGACAGCCTCAAGGCAAAGCTCTCGTCACTCAACGAGACCCAAGACGCCATCTCGACCGTTGGCCAATGGATTCTCTTTCACAGGTAAAGCCTCGTATACTTGACATTCGCTACACTTTTGAACGCGTCTCACGCGCATGCGCGCGCACTCGTCGCATTTACAAGATTAGGAAATAGAAGCTAATACGACTATCTACAGACGACATGCCGAGCGCATTGCTGCCGTATGGCTCCAACGTATGAAGGAGTCGACGCCAAACAAGAAGCTGGTCCTAATCTACCTCGCAAACGAAATCACCCAGACATCCAAGATGCGCAAGAAAGAGGAGTTTCTTAAAGCATACGAGCCCATTCTCGCAGAAGCAACGACCGTCGCCTACAAGGGCTCGCCTCACGAGATACAGAACAAGATCCGACGTGTGGTCGAGGTCTGGCGACAGCGATCCATCTTCAACCCGGCTGTCCAGCAAGCCATCGAGAGGTCTATTGACGAAATCGATCGCACAAAGTCCACGCGCAAGCCTGCTCTTGGTGGCTCGCTCTTCTCCAGTTCGACCGTCCCGCCTGAGCTTACTTCGGTCGCCCCTCTTGCAACCGCTCTCCAAAAGGCCGATATTGCGACCAAGCCCGCTGTCACCACCGCAAACCAGGACTATGAGAAACTCACCAACCCCAACGCTGCCATTCCCTCCCCGCCCATGCATGCGGCAGGTCTTGCTGCCCTGTGTAAGAAGCTGGCACTAGCCGAGGGCGCCGTCGCAGAGAGTATCAAGGCGCGCAAGGCCCTCATCACTGGCCTGGAGCAGCTGCTTGAGACGAACAAGACAAGACTGGAGCAAGAGGAGGCGCAGGCAATCGATCTGAAGACCAGAAAGGAAGCGATCGAAAGCCGCAAGCGCGAGGTTGAGGAAGCCATCCTCAAGGGCTTATCCGCAGCAGAGCAGAACAAGATCTCCACTGCACCTCTCCCCGTTGCCGCAACTTCACCCGCGACCGCAACCTTCCCCACTGGCCAAGGCCGCCCCGAAGTCGAAGAACTCACTCCCCCACCCATGGAATCCTTCACCCCCACCGGATCACCCCAGCAAAAACCAGCACCCCGCAACGACACCGTCCCCGATATAGGCGACGACGTCATGCCCGAGCCCGCCGCCCACCCCGTCGTCCCTGAAACCGCACCAGCACCCGGCCACCACACCACCCAACCAGACTTTGCAACCACAATGGGCGACCCGAACCAACATGTCGCTGCTGATCTGCTCAAGAGCCTCCAGCATGCTAGGCCCGGTGCCGATGGTGCTACGTACGGCCACCAGGCGTACGAGAATATGCACAAGAAGAGGAAGATGAGTCGGAATGCGCCGGATGATGAACTTGCTGCATTTGCTGGGGATAGGGATATGGCGGGTATTGATGATAATTTCGCGGAGCTGATTTGAAGGGTTTGATCGAGAGAGAGAAAGAGATACCGTTACGTATCAATTGAGGATCAAAGAGCTTGTGTTTCTATTGTTGAGTTTTGTCCAATCATCAATGCTTATGTATGATCATAGTGTACACGGGGATTGTGTAGTGTTCTTGTCATGTCATTACAATCACGATATTTTCCTTTCCTTCTCTTGATTCACTATTTGACGTTCTTGCTTGTATTGGAATAACAAACATTGGTATTCATATATAGTAGTGGTAACTGCGTCAAGCAAGAGGGAAAAAAAGGAAAGAATAATATACAATTAACCTCACCTTGAACATCTTCATCACATCGTAAACCATAATTTTCAGCCTTTTTTCTGATCCAGACAAAGAAGAACAACATTACTATCCCAATCACTCCTTTGCACTAGGCATAGCACGGTTCTTCTCAATCTCATTCATGACGCGCTGGCCCTCCTCAGTCGTAGCATCAATCACACCCTCTTCCAGACTCAACATGCCGCCCTGTCCCAGCTTCTCCACCACTTCTTCCGCCTCATCCACACTCATCTTAGCAAGGACCTTATTTACCTCATCCAGCTTGCCGCTCTCAAGCGCGCGTTGCAGACCCGGTGGGAACGACTCGAAGATCTGTCTCGCCTGAACTTCGGCCTCTCGTTCCTCGGGATCCGTTGCCGTGGGTTCCTTGGGCGGGACGGAAATATTGATTTGCGTGTTTGGATCCACGGCGTGCAGTTGGATTTGTTCGACCCCTGCGCCTTCGCCCTGGGGGTTCTCGGCGCGCTCCCTGAGGATTTCGGCTGCACGCGTCTTGATGCGGCCGTATGTTGAGTCGACATCGTCGTTGAACATTTTGCCGGCTTGGTGGTCTTTTGTTTGGATGCGCTTGAAGAAGAGCTCTACACCCTGTCTTCCGCCGAGTTGGCGGCAGTATTGCAGTAGCAGGCCTTGGTGTACGCATTGTCGGGCGTGCTTGGGTTTGCCGTCGAGTTCGGAGTTGAAGGCTTCGACGAGCAGACCGTCTGTCTCTTTCTCAGATAGAATTTCTGGGTGCTGCATGAGGAATTGCAGACAGGCGTACCAGTCTCCTGCCTTGATCTTGGCAAATTGTTGTGCAAGGGGGGACGCGGTGATGTCGTCTTCGTTGTCTCCAGTAGCACCGGCGACTGTCCCTTCTTCTATGTCGGCGTCTGCACCAGAAGACTGGCCTGTGTCTGATCTTGTGGCGTCTGGTCGTTTGGGAGCATTGAGCAGTTCGACTGTAGTTTCCTTCTTAGCGCCTGTTGACGACGATGCTGCAGCGGAGGCTTTCTTTTTGTCCTCTTCGGCTTTCTTAACGTTGGAGTAGTTGAAACCCTCGTGTAAGTCGTCGCTGGTGATGTGTCTCTTCTCCTCCTTCTCTAGCTCTGCTAATTTTGCAAGCAATTGGCTCTGCAGGTCTTGTATCCGCTCCTTTTCTTTCTCCAGACCTTTGATAAACAGGTCAAATCTTGGTTCTTCGCTCTTTTGTTCGTCTATATCCTTCTTCACCGCATCTACCAGACTCGCCATCATCTGTGGGTATGTGGGCTTGTCTTTTATATGTTCATGCACACCTTCTGGGGGCGTTGGTGGCCTGTCTGCGCCGCCATCTTTGCCAGCCTTCATGTCCATCATGCTCTCCATCATAGCTTGGAATACGAGCTGGTCATCGCTCGCGCCGCTGCCCTCGGCCTGCTTGTCCTTGTGCGACTTGAGCGCAGTGAGGAGGCGATCGACGCGCTCTGTGAGGCCATCGTTGATGATGCGCTCATACTTTAGTGTTTTTATTTGGTGGCGGCGCTGCTCGCGCTCCTGGTGAATCTGGGCTTGCTTTGCGCGGATAAATGACTTCTTGTCGACATTGGGGTGGACTTCGATGTCGCTGTCGTCGGAGAGCTCGAGGGCGTCCTTTGTAAGGAGTTAGAGGCTGTCGCAACGACACGGGAACCGCATGATACTTACCCACTTGCTGTAGTTGATCACCATGGCGGTCAATATCTGTGTCGGGTGTTACAGTGCTGTGTTTGTTGTTGCGATTCGACGTTGGACTTTGTTTGGGATTGCGGGGTGGTTGAAGTGGGATGTCGCGTTTGGGCCATAGCTCGTCATCGAGAATGTTCGACAGATTTCACTCTCATTCCATCTTCTCCAGTCGCACGCGTTGGGAGGATTATCTAACTTCGCAAGCAATGAGCTCTCACAGTATTCCAAGATGCTTTGTTCACTTGCAAAGGCTCTTGAGAAAATAACTTGCCAAGTTGGATATCTTTATTCTACTAGATGAGAAGACGGCATCAAACATTTCAGAACATGTAAACAGATTTTGTGTTTCATCGCATTGAGCTTCAGACAGAAAAAACATGTCTGTTGAACCTTCTCACATTGTCCCCACGTAACAAAACTCCTCGCAGACCATTCACCTACCCAGTAGCCCCCTCCGTCATCCTCACCCCCCAGCGACCACGGCCAAGCCTTCGTAAATCTGTCTCCTAACCCGCGAAAATGTCGCTGCATCGTTAGTTCTTGGATCAAAATTTCCATATGCGCCACCGTCAATCTCAATTTGACCCGTGGCCGTCTTCCTGACCGCTACAGTGCCATTGACAACCAGTATACCCTCACCGCGGAACTCGGCTTGCATACCATTCGCATTCATGAGCTTTCTGAGATCGGCAAGACGCAGGTCGCCCACATGGAAAGGTTGAGCAACGGAACGAACTGCCGTCGCCATGTTGGCAGGGACAACGTCGAGGACAGGCGTGTCGTTATTGTTATCGCTCGAGACAGGGATAGCGGGAGCATCAACACGGGCCTTCTTCTTTGCAGGTGTGTCGGCTTCTTCCTTCACTTCGGGTTCCAGGCTGGCAGCTGCAAGACGGCCCGTGATGGCCACGACGCCCATGCCACGGACATTCTGCCAACGTAGGTTGCGCACCATATTTCGACTGAGCTTGACACTCCATGCATTAGTGTCGACACTGGCGTCAATTACCATGCCCACAGTGGGTGTGAAGACGCTGATGGCGCTGGCGGAATCAGTGTTGGCATTTAGCGCTATGCGGCTGATTTCTGCAAGTTCAAGGGTTTCGCCTTGCTCTCCGCCAACAAAAATCAGCTTTCGCGGTTTGATCAGGGGAATCAGCTGCTGGATCGTGCGGCGGTCGTGTAGACCTGAGAAATCGACAAAGGCTATCCGACACTGGATCTGGAGCGATTCAGACTCGATGATGACCTTTGAAGGGCCTTCCACTTTGTCGGGGTCTTCTTCTGGCTCGCTATCCGACTCTTCGTCCTCGCCCTCTCGGCCCTCCCTTTCTTTCCGTCGTTTTTGTTGCGCAGTTGCCTTGACATTGTCAACGTTGTTGGCTAGGTCATCCCATCTCCTCTTTTGACCAACGGCATTTTCTTTCTTTGCGTCCTCGCCACGAAGCGCCTCCCCGGCTGTGTTATCCTCCTCTTCAGCACGCGCAAAGTCTTCTGGCCGGATTAGGTCGCCAAAGTCATCCGTCCGACGCTTCTTCGCCTGGAACGGAAACATTCTCTCTTTGCCTTTCTTGCCCTGCACTTCGTAGTCGTAGACATTTTTGCGGCGGACAAGTACATTGACGCCGAGCTCAGCATCTGTCATACCCAGCTTGTTGCGTGCATGTTGCAGAGCAACAGTTGCATTCAAGGCCTTTCCTCGATACCCGTCCCCGGAGCCCTCTGAACTTTCTGATTCAGTTGATGATCGATCATCAACCACGTCCGCGGATGTTTCGAGCAAAGCTGCGTTGTCTCCACCCATTGTAGTTTGTCGCTGTCTTTGACTAGCCAAAAATTGCTGATAAAGTGGAACCTCATCACCCTCTAATGCGGCCGCCCGTACAGTCTTCCATGGGATCTGATCTCCCGAAGCATTGATCACGGTGGTAGAAGGTGCATCTTGTCCCTGTGACGTGTTACGCTGATTCCATAGGTCCCAAAGATATCTGCCTAACCCCTTTCTCTGTGCGCCCAATTCACCTGATCTTTCGGTAAGGATGACGAGATTCTTCTCATCAGAGGCCAAACTTCGGAGGGCATCTTTGGAGAATCCCCATTCGAGTGTGGTGTCGCTTGCCAGAATCACGCGCGGCCCATCGGCAGCAAGCATACGAGCTACGCGTGTCTTGCGCTCCAGTAGTGTGATGTGCCTGAAATCAAATGGAACTTTGGCCCTATCCTCATCCTTTCCGCCTTTGTTCCTCCGATCTTGATCTGCTGCGCTTGCTTCAAATTCTTTGACAATGCCCTCCTCCATCCACTCCAACATACTGCGTACATAACGCATCGTTGCACCTGCTGTCCGGCTTGCAAGATATATCTTTGCGTTGGTTAGAGGACTGTTGCCGCCCTCTACTGTTTCGCGGTGCCAGGTCTCTTCGAGAAGATATGCAAGCTCGAGAACACGGGCACTGGAGTCTGAGGGAATCAAGACGGTTCCACCATTGACCACTGTATCTCGTATCATTTCGATCAAGGCCTCGTCTCGTTTGCTTGGTGGCTTGGCGACTTTGACCATGTCGGTATTCCTACTACTGCAGATCAAAGCAGTGGGACGACGGAGCTGTTCCAAAACCTCGGAGCCACCAGTACCAGGACCCCCGAGCCATGCAGCTCCGGAGAGAACATGCTCTCTTGCCTGGTTCCAGTCGACAGCATATACAACGGACTCCATGCCATGTTGGATGTGCCATATCGAACCTCCTAGTGTGTGTCCAGCGCTGTATGCAGTGATTGTAAGACCGTTCAGTGGCGGCGAGTGAGGCGATGGAATAGGCTGATGTGGCTGCGAGTATCGCAGTGGATTGATTCTGGCAAAGTAATCGGCAATCTCTTGAGCGGTCGGCGCCTGGAGAAGGATGTTGGGATTCTTCCCGCCCTTGAGTGCCGAGGAGAAAGAATAGGCCGACTCATTGAGGGCTTCAGTAGGGATAATTGACGAAGCAAGAGGCGTTGATTCGTAGAGGTCCTGCAGGAGCGTCCGGCCGAGTGATATGACGGGATTTGTGGCGTAGACGGGTATTCGCGTGAACAAAGGGAAGTTCTTGCAGCAGTGTACGTAGGCGCCGAGGTGCGCAGTGGTCGCGTGGGTGAGGAGGATGAAGGAGAGTGTGGGAACATGTCTGGAGCATCGGGGTTAGTCAACTTGTATGCATATCCTGTGGATCTTTACGGTGCAGTTCCTCCAGGCGCATGTGCAGCTGGATTCGGGAGGCATAAACACTATCTGCACTGATTCGACCATGCGCTCAGAAACCTACCTCTCGATTTCCTTCAGCAGCTCTACGCTAAAGTCCTCATCCCAACCAACGTCTATGAGGATCTGAATGCCGCCGTCGAACTCTAGTAGTGACTGTGATGCTGGCGACGAGCTTTGCGCGCCCAGCAGGGGAGTGAAATTAAACATGTCGACCGTCGCTAATAGTTTGAGTATAGGCGACTCTTAGTCTCCAAGCGCATAGTGGTAGGGCTTGGACTGGATTCACGAGTCGACACTGTTCCTTGATGAATCTGTACGTGGTAATCGGTGAGGAATGCCCGCAACGCGTCAGAGCGCGACTGAGTCCGGCAAAAGGTTTATCCGCCACCCGAACACGCAGGTCGTCCGTCCAAGAGGGTTGGTTGCACAGCTTCAAAGCCATGGCGCTGGTTGCACGGCATTTGGCCACGGCTCGACTAATATCAACAGATATGGCATTGCGATTGAGGAAACAAATAGAAATTACAGCACAAGATGCAACACCATGGCTTGCAAGAGGCATCAGACATGTAAAATCAAGACGACAATGGAATCGAAGCCGACTAATGCAATTGGCCGCAGCGTATCTCATCCGGCGCTTCCTAATTGCGCCGGCGACGAGCTTCCACGGATAGAGCCGCTTGGTTGCAAGTGCAAGAGTCATGGCTGCATCTCGGGTTCCTTGTGTGGAGAAGAATGCAACTGCCACAGGCCATGTTTCTCTCTAGTAGTGACATTCTGCCCGGAGCGAATAAACTCAAAATGTCAGTCGATCATCCGCCCGCACACGCATCTGCTGGAATTGCTAGGATACCATGCATTTCACCACGACGGGCGACAGTGGGGATTGGACGGGATTGAGGAGTACGAGTCGTCGTCAAGCTGAGGCTGTGAATGAAGTGTAGTGCTTGCAGAGGGCTGACTGCACACACATACACACATAGTACAAGGCTTTCATTCTGGTCGCACCGCACTCTAGGCGGAACTTCGGATCGAAACCGGCATGTTGGACATGCCAACACGCCGCAGAGATGCAGCTTTTGTATTGCCCATCCGACGACCCGTATCCCGCCCACCCCGTCTGAGTCTCTCCTGATTGAGGATATGCCAACGCAGCCGTCGCAGAAGACGTCATGACAGGTGTCAAGAACCATCATGGTTCTCCCTGGCACGGTGATACTAGTTCCTAGTCGTGCCCACTCGGCCCCAGAAGTCTCTCGAACCTCGCTCAACAATTGCTGCACATGCAGCTGCCGTCTGCAGCTATCGGCGGCGTCGACGACGACTTTTGCGAGCGAATGGAACGCCATGGCGATCCCAAGTGACCCCGCAGCGAATCCCCACCACTAGTTGCTGCAAGTCATTCGCTGTGTCTCCTCTCGGCTACATGCGCCCGTTTCTTTTCAAAACACAAAAACGGGCTAATATCCACTGTCCACCGTGGAGGGGAATGCCGCCATCACACGCAGGGACACCGGATCTGACCCCTTCTCCAGCTCAAACCTCATCCCATCCCCCTCGACCAGCCACCAGACCTGGCCCCGAGGGTGTGATGCGTCATGACACTCGTCAGCTGCGGACATTGCGGTCCAAAAGAAGCTCATTGTAGTAAATTGGAAACGGCAACATCGAAGCAGGTGTGGGCCGCCTGGCTCCACATCGCCATGAGACGGCCGAACCGAAACACGATACTTTTCTACCGACTCATGCTGGCTGGGTGGCTTCGACTGCTTGATTCGCCCACAAGAGTTGGCGGCAAGCTGCACTCCCAAAAAAAGCTACCGCCGTCGCTGGAGAAAAACGCCACAGTATATGCTGCCCAAATCACATCTCGATTAGGAAGTGTGTCCAAGGACAGGATGTGCCTAGCATGCTACATATGTATGTACATACGGACATAGATGCAGGCTATGTCCGTACATGCGCTCTGCACTAAACTCACAGACGAGCGTGGCAATTGTCTTTCTTCTGACGACCCCGTCATAGCGTTCGGCTGGGACCGAAGGCAGGTCAGGGTACTGCGGAAACACGCCAGGAGCCAGCGCTGGGAGCGTGCCCCCTTTGTGCCCGTCGTCCCGCTCCGGCCGCAAAGTAACCAGATCCTCAACACGCAGGGAATCGCCTCGCGCAAAAATACTGCATACTCCAAGATTTAAAAAAAGAAAAGAAAAAGAGGGCTATCCTAAACCGTCGGCAGTGTACTCGCCACGCAGGTAGACGCACACATGAAAACTCGTCAGTTAAGCCCGAAGCAGCGCTAGATTGATTGTAGGCCGAATGTGATTGCTACTCGCTTACACGCGTCATGATTGCGGGGACTGTGCATGCGAGCTTATGACATCTCGAACAGACTTTGGCTGGCCGTTACTTTGCGAGCCTACCAGCCAGGACGGCTGTCGACGTGAGGATCCCTTAGGCCTCTCCATCCCTGATATGTGGCTTGCTGCTGGAAACACCCAACATAGCCTGGTGGATTATCGGCGTGTTATGATCGCCTTTGGTCCTGCCGCACAAGAACGCTCTAGAGCCGCAGCAGCGTGTCCGATTCGACCGGAGCACAAGTGTGGAGAAGTAGCGTCGTCAGGTCACACACGCAAAGCATCGCGGAGATGTAGCACGATATGCTGGGCGTCTGCAAAGTGGGGCAGATAATCGACAAAGGGCGCCTTACTACTCCCAAGTGCCGCGCGCAGTTGTTAGCCGTTCCAGTGGCTGGTGGTGAATTCATCGTGTCTGAGTGGTGACGATTAGCAGCAGATCGAGAAGGGTGCCGAAAGCATAGCCAGCCGAGCTTGGCTGTCAGCAAGTGGTCAATCAAAAGGGTATCGGATGCGTGCAGGGCCTACTAAGGCGTTCACACCACGACCTGCAGCCTGCCCCCTGCTACTGCCGGGTCACCAGCTTCAACGCTGAGAAGCTTGTGCAGCCAACGAGGAGGGCGAGGTGGTTAGCAGACGAGCGATGAGATGAAGCCGCTCCAAAGCGATTCATGCACCATTCGATACACAGACTAGCAACATCACGTTTCAATGCTTCATCAGGTTTTGCAAAAACTCCAGACAATGTAGCGTTCGCGCCAGCGGGATGGACGGGCAAGTCAGCTGCGGCTTTCCAATACAATTGCCAGCTGTGCTCAACACTGTCCTTTGCCTGCCCGGTGCTGGACTGCGAGCGTCGGTCGAGTCTCTGCTTTAAGTTGATGGCGGCCCGGGGTCATGGATACAGCGGGACTGGTGGATTACTTCTGGGATTATCCTCCATTAACCAGTTTGGACGCGACTTGGTCCTGCTGCTGCGACGCTACTTTAACACACACTATATCCTCTCGCCTGCCTACCCTACCTTGCTGCGTTGCGTTGCGTTGCTGCGTTGCCAGGCTCGAGCTGTCCGGCCCTGCACTCTAATACCTAGTCGACATATCCCACCCGTTCGAGCACACACCATCGCCACGCCTTTTATCGCGCCTCCGCACCCTCCCGCGACTCATCTCTTACTTCGGCCCTTCAAACCATCAACATCGACATTGACATCGAAACATCTCCCAGTGAACTGGCTTTGCCCCCCATCCCTGCCTGTCCTGGTCTGTGTTCAGCTCAGCCGTTCATCTCGGAACGACGCTCTTTTGTCGTTAGTTCCTCCCCAACCTTATTGGATGTTCCGCGGTGCCCACGACTCGCTAAAGACGCATTCCCCCCGCTCTCACGCAACCTACCGTGCGATCGCTCGAGGCATCAGAAGCGGACCGCTTGGACCCTCCTACGACACGCTGCTCATCTTCCGCTCCAGCAGTTGCCGCACCGTTCCACAACTAACCTGTGCTTTTGCGAGCCAGCATTGACCGGCGGTAACACAAGATAACTCCTGGTGGCTGCTTTCCTGCATTGCGCCGTGCCGCATCCACACGCACGCACTTCCCTCTCCCCCAGCCTGCCAGCCAGCTAGCCAGTCAGCCAGCCAGCCAGCGTCTCTTCCTTTGCGTAACCATCCGCGCGTAGAAACAACCACACTTCCAATGCATGCTCCCTCCTACCAGTAGTCTCCCAAACGTCTCCGACTCTTGGACCGAATGATCTCAACCAATTCCTTCGGCCCTTCGCCGCCAGGCGCGCACACCCGGATGAGCACGAGCTCATCGCCACAGCCCTCCATGTCTTCCGCTAGCGACTCCCCATTTACCACTCCCAACTACGATTCAAACATATTCACCATCCCCGATACAACATCAGAAGAGAGGACAGACGGACGAACAGGATCCCTTGAGGTAGTGCCAAAAGTGGAAGAGACGGAACTGCAACTGGCCGATGTCAAGGAAGAGCCATCTCCGGAAGACGCACCCATCTCCCCAACGGAACCAGTCCGGATAAGACGAGCCCGTGGTCGACCAAGGATACACCCTCCTCGCTCACCAACGACTCTTGCCAAGCAAGCCAAAGCTCGATCGAAGACCGGCTGCACGACGTGCAGGAAGCGAAAGAAGAAGTGTGACGAGACCAAGCCGTTCTGTAATCGCACACCCAACCCCAGCGCCACCAACTGTATGCTAACGATGGGTAGGCTTGTCATGTCAAAAGAACAACATTCATTGCGAAGGCTACAAGCCTGTCGAGATTTGGAAGAGCGGAAAGGAGCGCGCCGCAGAAGGTTTGTAGTTCTATCTCACCCCCTTTGCTTTTTTTCAGGAGTGGGCCAGGCTAATACCGCAATAGCCCGGAAGCGAAGTCAAGATGTCAAGTTCGAGCTGCCGCCTCTGATGGAGGGCGTTGAGAACGATCTTGATCGTGATCTCCTCCAGCATTTTGTCAGCAGGGCCAGCGCCGTACTCACCTTACACGGCGACAAGTCGACAAACCCTTTTACCAAGATCTTGCTGCCCATGGCCCTCCAGCATGAAGGCTTGATGCACTCGGTGTTGTGTCTATCGGCCTCTCATATGTACTCTGTCAATCCATTGCAGGAGTACGAAGACAGGCAGGCTTTCCATCGAGGCAAAGCTCTGCAGCTTCTCAAGCACGATCTCGAACGGCAAAAGGCCGGCGAAGGCGGGGTCATGGTCTATGAAGACTCTAATGTGGCACAGATCCTTCTTCACCTTCTGCATTCAATATGCGACGGCAACACATCGGGCGAATACCGGATGCACATGATCGCAGCAAAGCAGATTGCGATGAACCAGAAGTCCTCGAACCCAGAATTCCAGACACTCTTCGACGAGTTCTTCTACTACCACTGGATCGCTAGCCAGATTACATCCCTTGACGGCGCTGAGGTACCGATGATGGACGACTTCAACCTACCTTTCAAGATCAGCCCGGAAACGGCGGGGCTCATCGGCGTATCGGACGGCCTGTTTGGCTTCATTTCCAAGATCAGTAACCTGCGACGGAAGATTCGTGCCCGTATCGATGAAAAGCTTGAGCCCATCATGGACTACGAAGCTCTGCTCTCGGCACATGCTATCGACACTGGTCTGCGTGGATGGGTGTGCCCCCATACACCGGGATCCCCTCGCTACACAATCTCCATGTTGTATCGCCAAGCGACATGGGTCTATCTATATCGCACAACCAAAGATTCAAAGCCTCACCCCTTTATCAAGAGCGCTGTCGATGACGGTATCCGATACATTAACGAACTACCTGCAGAAGGTTGGGTCCAAAGCAATGTTCTCCTGCCCCTCTTTTTGATTGGGTGTGCAGCGTTTGAGGAAGAGCAGCGTGTCGAGATCAACCGAGCTTTCGCCGGACTGATTGCATGCACCGGGCTAGGCAACATTGGATTCGCAAAAGAGGTTGTTGATCAAGTTTGGGAATTGATGAGCTCTGATGATCCAGAGGTACAGAAAGAGAGCTGGGACTGGGAGCGTCTGATCAACGCCCGTGGATGGGATTTCCTGGCGACTTGATGTGGAATAGGAGTCGCTGAGACACTTCGCACATGCTTCAGCCAGCCACAAACTGCCTGAGGGAATCGCGACATGCTTGGCACGTCATTTCCGACTATTTCTTCTCCTGGATGAGGCCTTCTCACTGTTTTCACAGTGTGGGTCAGGATGATGTAGCCGACGCTGAAGACAGGGTCTGTTGCGGCGCACGGCTCTCAAAGCCACGAGAAAGCTGCACCGTGACGCAACGCCTCGGCAGCATTATTCGGCTCCCAGGGTTTCTTATTCAAACGGGGATTGTAACGGCGTGAAAAAGGAGTCATGGATTGCTTGGTGGACCGATTGCGTGGTTCTTCGACGGCTTTAACGAGGGTCGGACCGGCAGCGATGGGCTACATGTACGCGCCTCACAACCAGGTTGCATTAGGAGTGGGTCTTTTTTTTCTCTCCCCTTCCACACACATACGGCGGTACTGCGTTAGGGTAACGGGGAAAACGGCTTTGTTTTGGTTCAGCACCTTATTTTGTTCTATTTTTTATTTCTATCTCGCTTTTTCTACCATGAGCGTCGCTTGTTTTGCTTGGCCGCCGTTTAGTTGCAGGATCCTTGCGCATCACAACACTTTGCTTTGGACAGCGTCCATGTAAGGTCGGATGCATTGGTGCATACCAACACACGCACGCACGCCCGCACACACCTCTACCTACACACCTACACACATATTCAAACACGCACATACACATTTTCACACACACACCCAAAGCGTTGCGTCGACGAGGCAAGCTTGTACACATGGCATTGCAGCACTTGTTGAATAAGGACCGACTGTAGTTTGCAGGCATTGTGTTTTTTTCGTTCGTTGCAATGACGACACGTAGGTATGCATAGGAGGGCAAGGTATACACAGCGCGGCACAGCAACACGCATCCGATATCTCCACTCTTTGCTTGCTGGAATCTGTAACATAGACTTGGGAGGGAACCCATGGCAGAGCAAGCGATTTACTGATCTACCTCGGTGATTGAAGTGAGGCACAAGTGCGCATTGCTAAGACGCAGTTGGTTGCTGGGCTTGCTGGCCAGGCTTGCTGTCAGGCTTGTTGGTTGGCATGCTTTGGATGCATGCTAATACACACATGGCTGGCTGCAGGCTCTCACGACCGAACCATGCCACAAGACCCCGACATGTCCACCCTGAAGCGGGAACATGGTTCTTTCTTCCCCCAATCCGCACATGCACCCGCAACCCAACACTCTGGCGGGCATCCTTCGTGCGTTTCGTCGGGACGACGATATTTGGACGCATGGGGGGACGAGTGGGAATCTGGCCGAGTCAGTAAACCTTGAGGTCTGCAGCCACAGACATCTCAAAGCGCGCTGGTGCATTTAACCGGCCGAAGAGAGCGGGAGCGTTCCCAGCGACCGCTCCAGAACCCAAAGGTTGGAACAGTAGTCTGCTTCTGTCTCGCTCGCGTACAGTATTACCAGCCTGCTACTGGTACGCAGACCAGAGCCACGAGACGAGGGATGAGGGACGAGGGACACGAATGCCGACAGGCAGATCGGCCCAAGGTACCAGGGTCAATCTCCGGCAATGCGTGGGGGGAGGGCGCCACTCGGTCTCACGTCCAGTCACAGTAATTGGGTGTGGGCCGGCCTCAAAGGCGCTTACTGGAGGCCTACTGCTACGGTTGCGCTCTTGTCCGGTCCTTAGCTGCCAGGTGCCTCGAGTACCGCCGCTTCACCTTCCTAGCGGGCAAGGATGACGGCATGCCCAATACCAGCAACACGAAGAATCATAATCAGCGTACATGCATTAATCGGCCCTTTTTGGCCTTTGATGACCCCAGATTGCATCTGACTGGCCAAGTCCCCGCCTCTTCACCCTGTCCTCCCACGCTTGTCAGGCAGGGTTTGTGTCGTATACTCTATACCATGCGATTGTTGGACATCGTGTAACTTGAGTCAAGCAAGATACCATTTTCCATTGTCGTGTGTACCTGGCACTAAGCATGAAAATGGCGTTTTTGCAGGAACCCGATCGCAAGCATCCTTCGTGTTATGTGCAACGTTGCAGCCATAAGGCACATGTGCGCAACGGTTCATGGGGGGGAACATGGTACAAGGGTCATGGGTGACGTTCGCCCGAAAGCAAGCCTTAGTATAGGCCTGCCACAACGTCCCGGAGCAGCCGTTGATTTATTGTTCCTTTCGCAGCTTGGTACATGTTGCAATGCATGCACATCAAACTGAGCCGCTGTTGCTCTTCCAATCTCGTCTTCAATCTCCGCGAGCTCGGGAGCCTATTCCGGGAAGAGTAGTGTACATACATACACTATCGTCAGGGCGATAACAACATCAAGGCAAGTAATCACCATCTGTCGCCATCGGAAGGGGGCCTCAATTTCTCTCTCCACAAGCCGACCAGATCGCCCCGTTATCCGTTACCTCGCATTCGCAATCGACAAATCAAGGGTTCTCTTCTCCACGACCCGTTCACAGCGGACCCACTCGTCACGCCAACCTGGGACTGACACGGGCAAGACCTGTTGATGCTTCTCAATAAAGTATCCCGCCGCACGTGCAATTCCCCTTCACCCGGGTCTGGACACTTCAACCCGCCCATGTCACGCATATTATCATTATCAGAAGGGCAAGACTAATTATCGTGCACGCCCATTTGAAATCATCCAAGCGATCCTCGGAACGCCTCGTCCTGGGAATTATGCTACCATTTTTATTTATTTTTATTTTGGTTCGCCGCATAGCCGTTTACTAAGCGCACGGTGCCTGCATATCGTCGACCGATCATTCTTTTTTTTTCTCCTTCGCCCCATTATGCATAGGCCATCTTTGTCATGGGCAATTAAGAGCAGGAATAGAAAGAAAAGACAAAAAAATCTCCGCCATACAAGGTACATGACCAGAATGGTGGGATGCCGTTCCCAGACTCTGGGGAATGAGACCGTGATCAATTGTGCATTGTTTCTGCCTGAGAGCTCCGAGGCAACAAGAAGAGATAGGGCTTGGGTTTTTTACGCCCGTCACATGCGTCAGACATGTGGTCATTGGGCGCCTTAGACCGTTGAGCTTTGGAGTCTGGGTTCGCTTACACCGATGTAAGCTGCTGTGTACGTATGTGTGTATGTGTGTGTGTGTGTGTGACTAAACTCGCAGACACACCAAGGCGTATGCCGACGCAAGCCATTTGAAGTAATTCGTCAAGGAGACCGGTATGATTTGTGAGAATTACGGAAATAGCGAAAACGTGACTGACATTCCATGCGAACTAGATGTTCTGGGATATAGGTAGTCATACGTGAGGCGTTGTCGTTTCGCCTCCCAGCGAGGCACCTGCAGCTGACACAGGGAAACAGGGTTTTTTGTGTCAGCCTTCACATGGCTACGCATGGCTTTGGGGATGATGGTGGATGGCCAACCTGAATGACAGGCCGGGGGAGGGGGCCGCTAGGCCAGCCCTGCTCTTTGTCTTGCTTTGATATTATCAGACCATATCTGAGTATGAGGATGAGAAAAGTGTGGTGGAGGAGTGGTCGTCGTCGTGGTTCGATCGGGAATCGCCGCCGTCGTGTGACTTTGGGCTCATAATCATCTATCAGCCGAAGTCGAAATAAAAACAATGATCGATATCGTTATTGCAAAAACGCGGTATTGGGCAAGGTAAGACACTCTCCGGGGTTGATGACGATCATATCATGCATGCTAGTGAGCCGCAATAAGTAGAAGGGGATTATTTCCCCAAGGCTGACGACTGATCACCATGGCGGGTTGCGGATACAGATGTTAGTGCTGGGTACGTATAGAGGTAGTGGAGGGTGACGGGGGGTCCCAATAGGCTGGGCACAGTATCCGCCTGCCTTGCGACTATCATCGCTCAATATTGCCCAGCCTCAAGCATAACGAAAAAAAACTTGCTGCCTACAAGTATTTTGTGTGGGTGTGGGTGCTTAAGCCACATATGTACATATGGATTAGAGTCATGATGCTCCGCGGCGGCAGAGTCAAGATGCAGGTGGATGACATGAGATGAGGTGAAGGGAATGGACATGGACACAAAGATTTCGGCAATCGTTACCGTCACGATTAGTGCAATGCACCTGACGCATAATCCACCCACCCAGCCACACCATCGCGCAGTGCAACACTGATCAAAGCGCACGATGGACTATCTCCCGCTTTTTTTTCATCTATGACCCTTTTTTCCTGACTCTGTATCGCTGCACAACACTGCACGATGATGCAAAACACGCATACACACAAAAAACCCAAGACACTGCCAAAAAAGTGAGGCAACAAGCCGAAAAAACTGGATCTTCATACATACATAGCCACAGAAAAAAACCGGAGGTAGCTACGTACACAGTATACAGAAGTACAAATAAACCGGGTCCCCCCATCGGCCCTTTTTTGCTTTCTGAACCAAGGAAAATGGCAGATGGCATTCCCGCTCCTCTTTCCCCCCGCTTTCCCCCCCGTTGTTCTACCGCCCGTATTCCCACATAACCCACCAACAAATCTATATGCAAGCCACACATACACACACAACACACAGCTGAACCAACCAAACTGACATACATATACATACGTCTCGTATGTACGTACCCTCCCCCGCCGATCTCCCAAACGGCCTGCCCACCTCCTTGACGTTCGAAATCGCACACACACACATACATACATATATAGAAGTAACAGTAACCGCACAAGGCCTAGCCCATATGCACTTTAGTCAATGCCTATTCAAAAACATCCACAGCGGAAAAGTAGGAAAAGAGCCCGGAAGTACCCTTCCCATCCCATGAAGTTCCCTCTTTCCCCCCCGACCCCCGACCCAATCGGACGTCCAAGATCCCAGACGGGAAGATCAGCACTACATTCCCATTTTTCTGCAGCGCAAAAAAGCCATGAGTCGCTGGTGTTGCCTGGGCCCCACCTCCGCCCGCCGTCACTGCCGCCGCCGTCGTCGTCGCGTACGGCAGATAAACGGCAAAGCATATGTCAAAGTGTGAAGTATGGCGAAACGGGAGGCGACGGAAAGGGAGAGCTTGTTACATGTAGAGTAATAAGATGTCTGGCTGAAAGCGTGTGGTGCTGCATACACTAACTACGTCCTTTTTTACACTTACACCACTGCTGCTGCTGCTGCCGCTGCCGCACCCCCCCCCCCCAAATATGTAGGTGGTAAGTTCAATCACGTATGTGTGCGCATCTGTAGGTGCGTGTGCGTGTGCGTATATCGACGAGCGGACGAGAACGGGTTGCTTTTTTTTTCTTCTTCTTCCTTGCCTGCCTGATTGCTTGCACTAGAGTGACGATAACAAGGGTGCGTGTGGCGAACAAGCAAGTGCAAGCAAGCAAGCAGGTGCCTTTTTCCGTCTGTTCCGTGCCGGACCAACGCGCTGCGAGTGTTATCGCGGGTTAAGTGGGGTGGAGGGGTTTTGCATGGTGCTGGGGTGTATGTATGTGTGTGTGTGTGTGTGTGTGTGTGGAGTTCGATTTTGAAGGGGGATCGCGAGAGAAAGTGTGGGTCGCGTGGTGCCGTTTGCGTGGTGCACCCCTGGTGTTGTCGTCGCCGGAGCGGTGGTGCCGGTGCTGGTGATGGCGGTGGGTGGGAGAGTGGTGGATGGGGTTTTGGGGAGATTGCAGGGTTGTGAGAGGTGATAGTTGGAGAATGCGACGTACAAACTGTACTACGTGAAGGTAAGGTTTGAGCTCTCTTTTCTTTTTTTGGCATGTGAACTCGACTCAGCGGTTACATGATCCCGGTACATTATCGTTGGGCGTGCATTTTGTTGCTTGGGTAACAATGTGCTTGGTGGAGTAGTATGACGGAAATGTGGGTTTGTTTAGGCAAAAGAGACTCGAGAGCGATGCAGGTCGCTGGATTCGTTTGTTGCTTGTGTGTGTATCACTATATTTCTCGTCATGTTTTTGATCATGTGTGAACGG